TGTATAGTGATCTGATACGAAGCAATATCGGTATATAGTTTGGAACATATATGATTTCGTGTTGGTATCCACTCGGTAATCGCTCGGCTTGATTCGACATCGCTATAAAATACGCAATGCGGAGTAATATCGATATATAGTTTCTAAGATATACGATATCGGATTTTCGATATTGCCACAATATGTAATTTCAATAACTATATACGATTTGTAACGCCCATTCCTATTCGAATCATTTTGATTCGATCGATCACGATCGACACATATCACACATCTTTAGTATACCTAATATAAAATATAATGATTGCACTTTCACATTGACGATGTGATTTGTTGTGGTCACTTGGTTTTTATAAAAACGGTTAATTTATTCGATAATACAAACAAATACATAACGGAAAAATGTTCAGGTAAAGAAACTGCAAATTTGGCAATATTTTAATATCAGGGGCCTTACCATGAACTCTTACGATTCAGTTTAGGACCTAAAATGAATCGTTGAGACAGCGCTACATGAAGTGTATATCATCATCCCGCTTTTTTGTCGTTTTGAACCTACACTGAACTGTAATAAGAGTTCATGGTAAGGCTCCTGTGCTGTTTGCTTCTGTTTGTTTATTGTGCCGAAATTTCTCGTGATGGATAAGGAAAAAAAATCAATTACATCATCCTTTGGCTATATTTAAATTTCCAGCTGTTATTAAGCCTAGCACTTGATACGCCCGTTATTATATAGTTTCGATTTGATTTCATTAATTTGTTTGTAATATAACTAATTCTAAGCCTTGATACCGGATTTGCCAAAAAAAAATTATCAGCTCTCACGTTTCGTTATTGTAGGTACGAACACATTGCATTTGAGAATAGTTCAAATCACAAAATATTATGAGTTATAATCGATCGTGATCGCGATCCTTTCATTTGGTCGTCTGGCAATAACAAGTAGTACTTAAAATTTAACAAAGTTTGCAAGAGTTTATAGTTAAACATTGTCCTCTGAAGCTTATGAAAATAAATAAAACCGACTTTGACCACTTAGTGCAGAAAACTGGTCGTCATCCACTATAATTTGCCGTTATTTTGAGTTAGAAAGAGAGATTAGAGAGTAGAACATTTGAGTACTAAATTTACAGATAATGTTAACTTCATAATTCTTTCAGTTGTAAGTAATAAACAGATTGTCAACGATCCTGTAGTTGCAGTTTATCCTATTACTATCGTCTTAAATCAATAAATCCAATTTATTTGGCGTATCTTTCCTGTTTTGGAAATCCGGTATCCGGATATTGTTCTATTATCCGGTAACCGGTATAAATAGGCCGGATGCCGGATATCCGTTCCATCTCTACTTTTAGCTATACAATTTTATTTTTTAATTCACGCTAAATAAAACATATTACCTACTAAACGAAGAACATTATGGGCCTTCGAATTATATAGGATTTTTCCAATATTTTGGAATTTTTCCCACATTTCAGATTTTTTTCCGGAAAAACTGACACTATTTGAAATTTGTCGGAAAATTGTCCAACAATAAGTAGGGCACTTACGGCTGCTCCGGGTATAATGGACAATGGACACGACTTCCATTGCGAGCACGCACCCGATACACTAAATTGCCCAATGTAACATTAGTGGTTTTTTTTATAATACCAAATTGTGACGATACGCACAAGTCGTGCGCCTGGTGGTAAGCGACACACGTATCCACAAACAGTTGCCACTTAAGAGCTTTTAATCGCAAAGATCTTCCTTAGGAGCACTGCCACTGTGACCATCACCCAAAGACAGGTTGAGAAGTCCTATGTGCCTGTAATTTCACCAGCACCCTTACCCCTCTAAACCGGAATGCAGTAATGCTCACATTAGGTACACCATGCGAAAATGGTATTAGAGCACTTTATATAAAATTAAATGATATGGCGCTTTGGCAGCGCCTTCGAACTGTGATCACCGGATCATCTGCATAGTCCTGATCGTCAATATGCAGTTCTGCCAGCCTGTACAGGATCTGATCAAAAAGTAAAATATAGATTGGCATATCGATTGGCTACCTTAAGCCTTCAATTGCAAACAATCGCGCTATACGCACGGAAATATGGGCGACATTGGCAATGCATGACGACGTTGGCAATGCATTAAACTTTTCGAAACAATAAGTTATATTAACCTAAAACAATGTAAGGTACTGTAAATAAAAAAAAAACAAATATTTACTATTCATAATATTTACTTTTATAATTATGTTATTTTCATTCATAACTAACAACGATATGGGTGTTACGATGTATTCAAATTCAGTAAAACAAATTAAAACAAAATACAAATTTCACTCACTATTAAATTTAATATTACAGTAATAGTAATAAGAAAAACTTTTAAATAATTTATAAGTCATAACCCCAATTCGAACAATGTATTTTTAAATGGTAATTCTCATTTAGTAAATGTGCACGCAAATCGTGAAAGTGAGAATTCAGTGGGCTAAAGACGTTTCGATAATAACGCTTCAAACATTCAGGTCACTAGTATGTCTTAATAACTTTTTACACAGAGGGTCTTCAGAAGCAACGTCGATTACAAAATTCATATAAGATAGACTTAATAAAAATATGCGTATCTAAACTACCATATTCCTTACGGCATCCGCAACAGTCAGATGCTGGGGCGAGAACGCTGCACGTCAATAGGCGGACAAGCGGTGCCGGATGTCCCGCCAGCCGAGCGAAGACCGTTCGTGACCGCGGGGACCGTAAGTGCGCATTAACCGACAAACGTTACTCAAGAGTCATACCGTAAAGATAATTATATTTACACGAATTATAAAGGTGTGTCAGCAAACCAAATAGCCTTAACGACGACAACTAACTATGTGATTTAAAATCGAAGCGCCGAGCGCTTTAGGTACTTAAAAGATACAATAATTTATACGTAATAAGATACATTATGTAGCAGAGTTAATACGAAGTCAATGTGGTGGCAGGCTATAAAGTTATTTTCCTAATGAAGAATCGAAACTGCTAAGCATGCAAGATTACCCGAACAATGTTTCGATTCGATTGTTACGGTGATATAACGAACTACGGAGGAGCAAGCACTTCTCCCCGTGTGCGGCACACACGCGGCTCGCCGCCGCCTAGATTCGCATTTCTGCGAAACTGGATATGTGTGAACAATATAATTTGGTCCAAATAGGAATAAACGGTTGTGCTAATGGTATCTCAACAATGTTCAGCTGCCGTTCGCCTCTTGCTAGGCGGGCGCTGCGGCTCCTGCGACACTACACCGAATTTACGCGTATAGGCTACATCTACACCATGAATAAAAGATTTGTTAGTCTATACTTAAGGTTTTAATACCTTCGCCTAATTTGTAACTGTATGCCAAATCGAGGTGCAAAATGAAATTACTTGAATACTTAAAACTATGACAATGAAATTTATAGCATTATTTTAACATTGTTTCATAAAAGACTACTAATAACCATAGTGTTCTCAATGACAAATTTTATATCATAGAAATATCATTTATTGAATATAGAATACAATTATTATCGAAAAACTATGTCGTTACATTAGGACACCGACAGTGCTATTTATTAAATACAGTACGTTTGCAGCACTGGATAAGACAAGGTACACCGCAATAAAAAACGGTTTTAACGTAGAAGTTGCCCGACAAAACGAATATCTAATAATGCAGTTAATCTAAAAATTTATATTCTCTGTATTGTTTATACATATACATAATATACTGAGATATTAAATATTATAAATTATCCTGAGAGATCAGTTTATGCTAGTTATAAAAATTTACAAGTATGCTTCTATGTATGCAACCAAAGTTCCATTTGCTAAGTATCTCGTTGAAATAACACTAGGCATACAATTCGTAAGTTTCATGAGTTAGTGATACGTTTCAACAATAAATACATACACTAATGCACTACAGAATATGTCTTTCCTACTGATTACACGGCCCAAGCGATTTTTACGCATCTTACTAAATATTCACGCGGCAATCTCTCAAATAGGTGACACGATTGAAACAAACTTGTGACTATCTCATCCCGTCTACATGGATAGAGCTAAAGTAGGGTATAAATGTGTACAGGGAAAATTACTTCCAAGATTGCTTTGGAAAAGAGAAAATTATTACAAGTGAACATAAAACAAAATAATTTAACCAGACGATAAATCTGTCGTTTGCCGAATAAACATCATTAAAACTCAGTGTTTAAGGTATGTACATAAAAAGACAATTTGAGCTTACAAAAGTACAAAGTAATCACATTGCGACGGTTTAGAATCTACAGTGGATTTACCCTTCTTACCGACTACGACAGCTCAAGCTTTATCGACAATTACACTACTGTATCACACGATTATTCGCCGAAAACACCTATTATGCATTTAAATTTCCCGATGGCCAACACGAAAAGGACTATCACTAAATTAGCACACGAATGACTCTCTAGTTTCGACGGAGTGCATCGCAGGAGGGGCCCGCGACCGGAGCGCCGCCGCCAGACGGGCGGGGCGGTGCCGGGCCGTAAATGCAACGGGCGAGGAGAGTCGGTCAGATGCGGCATAATAAGAGTGCTTTGGCGTATCGGCGATAGCATCGGGCCTCGAGTCGTCGGTCGCGGGCGGCGGGCGCGGGGGCGCGGGCGGCGAGGGCGCGGAGCGGGCGGCTTCGGCTGCGCGCCGCCTCTACGACGCGCCCGGCGACCCGCCGCTCGCTCCACTCGCCGCGGCGGTCTCGCCTGAAACAGCGCCGCGATCAGTGGGGCCCGGGCGGGGCGAGTGCGGGCGGGGCGGGGCGGGGCGTACCCTGGGCGTCGAGCGCGTCGGGCAGCGGCGCGGCGGACGCGCCGGGGGCGTCGGCGGCGGGCGCGGCCACCGCGCGCGGCTTCAAGAAGTCGTTGAGCGACGGCTGGATGCTCAGCTCGTACTCGGTGAAGTTGAACAGCGGCGGTAGCGGGCGTCCGTTGGGTAGCCGCGCCGTAGGCTCGCGCAGCTCGTCGAAGAAGTTGTGCGCGCACGCCTGCAGCGGCGACAGGCGCGCTCCCGGCGTGTATTCCAGCAGCCGCGACACCAGCGAGATTGCGTCAGGGGGCGTGCACGCGCGGAATACCTGCGCGGAAATGCAACATGTTACGCCAATTGCAATTTTATTTCATTAGGAAACCCTTCTCTATGTAGCTCGTAAACCGTACACGATCCACCTTGATCGGTAAAACACATATTGTTACAAAAACTGTAAATTTTAAGACGAACTCTAAAAAATATTGCGTCGATCAATCACACTCGATCGTTGTTAGGAGCCGCAACATAAGTAAGGACCAATATTTACACTGTTAATTAGTGTTGCAACGAATAGTATTTCGCCTTCAGGCCGAATACCGAATATTCGGCCCGGAGTGAGGTCGAATAGCCGAATACTCGGCCAAACTATTCAGCCTGATTAATGATCTTACGAAAATTGGCGCGCAAACCGCATTCTAGCAAAGACAGTATAGTAGACACATATATAAGTTAAATGAAATTAAACCAAAACCGTAAAAAGAAACAAAAAAGGAAATTTTATTTTCAAGTTTATAATTCAAATTTATGACATCTTAACGAAGAAGGTAATAGCTTATTTCACTTCAGTTTGATTAACTTCCAAAAACTTAATTTTATTTTCATTTCCAAATAATATAGTACTAGGTTGATTTTGTTAGCGTATATTTATTTAATCATGATTTCATGACAAAATTACATAATAAGTAGGTAGTGTTAATTTGATTTGTTACCTTTTTTTTTGATCTCATAGAATATACTAATTATAATAATTTACTGTATTTTCTTATTTCTTCCTCCTGTTTTTAGATATTCTGCCGAATAGTGATCTAATATTCGGTATTCGGCCGAATAGCAAAAAATAGGCCGAATAAGCCGAATACCGAATAGTAACCGAATATTCGTTGCAACTCTACTGTTAATGGTTAGAAAACATCGTTAAGACTGATGAAATGATTTGTAATGTGTAATATGAACAATGGAGGTGCCAATTTGTTTTAACATTGAGAACAGAATATTTCTTACAGGATAAAATTTTTTAAGATTTTTATGAAACAAACTGCACTTATCGTACGGTACGAATGCACACTGAACACCAACAAACAGTTTGCAGAAACAGCGTAAACCGATTAGTTGTGACTTCTAGTCGTCGTTACATGCACACCATGAAGAACATGGTCATAAATACCGATTCGCTCTAAATGCCATCACTTGCACATAACAATGGGAAGTATCACGAGACCGGTATACGAAAAAAAGGAACAGCCTCATGCATAAAAGTTCCTATTATCTACAGGAATTTGTCTATGTACCATGTCGTGTAAACTACCCTTTTTACTAAAAAAAATTATAATTAGCTATTAGAAATGTGTAACAATATATCAGGTAGGAATGTGTAATGAGGCATTTAGAGCTGGGTCGAGCGTCGCCTTACTCGGATGCGCTGGTGGTCAGTGGCAGTCTTGGGCATGGTCATTCTCTCCAACATGAACTGTAATGACGTGTTCTTTTTACCACGCAAAATCAAACCTCAACTAACAGAAATACAACAGAGAACTAAAAAATCCTAAACACAACACGACAATTCTGTTCTCCTAAGCTATCCCATTCCACATATTATGTGGAAAATTATAAAAAGCCTCGAGAACATATATTTCATTTGAATCAATTGAACATACACACAAATAAAAACATAAATAAACGGGGTAGTTTCAAAGAACTATATTAACAATCATATTATTAAAATATATATATATATATATATATATATACACGAAATAAGTATATTATTAAATATATATATATATATATATATATATATTTAATAATATACTTATTTCGTACTTTTACATATCGTCTGTTTAAAGGTAAAACTACAAAAGTGATATTTTCTACAGTCTTTCTAAGCCATGTTAAGCAAAATAATTATCTTTCTGCAGGTGAAACTCAATAACAAAAAAGCTATAAACTCAATAAGTGGTTCTATTTGCTGGAAGATGGTGATTTTTTTACAACAGGTACATAATTTGGAGATTTTTTGTGGATTTGTGAAATGTCACTATGTGGTTTTACCTTTAAGCAGATGATATGCAGAATACACAAAATTATTAAAAGTAGGTCAATTATGTCCGCCTTTATAGTTACACCGTGCAGTATGGTGAATGGGATACTTTAAGACAACGACAAAATGCAATAAGTATAAAATGTAGAACCATAAATAAACTTCCTATTACCTTCACCCATGGGTGACTCTTGATTTGTGGGAATTTAAATTCTGTATAGTTTGGATTCATCTCTCGAATTTGTTCACGTGTTGGTGTGCCTAGGACCTGCAAAGATGAAAATTAGATTATATTTATATTATGCAAAGATGAGAATTAGATCTTTGTACCAATAATAATAATAATAATAATAATAATAATAATAATAATAAAGTAGTGGAGTATTTTTACAAAAAACAAATGAGTATCATGGTAGTGTAAACATCATGATATTCAATAAAAAAGATGAAAATTTTTATTTTTAATTGTTATATCTCAAAATAATGTATTGTAATTAGTTTTAATTACAATATAATTTTTTGAGATATAACTATAGTCTGTCTTTTATCAAGACGGAATAAAATGACATTTATAGGGTTGCCAGTTTTCATAAAACTTTAAGTTATGTGGTTTTATCGATAAATTGTCAAAGATAAAATTTGGCTAAAAATGACTGAATTGTTACGACGTTCAAATGATTACTAATTGCGTTATTGCATTCTTTATTCTTATTTTGGCAGTTGGTCTACTAGTATCGAGATCAATTTTTATTCATATACTTTTTAACAAGAATGGCCGTATTTGATATATCGCACTGTTAATACAATAGCGTATTAATTTATAAAGTGTATTTTCTCAGAATCGACGAAAAACGAAACACTGGTTTCCCGTGAAAGATAATTAAAATGTATGCATAGGTTAGTTTATTTCAAACAATTTACTACTTGCCAAATATATTTAAATAAAAGAGAAAAAAATATTTTATATTTTTGAATGACTATTTTGGCCAGAACTAGCACACATAAAGTGTGTCTCATTTTGAGTTAAGTAGATATCTATTAGTTGTTTCTTACCAATATTCTAAAGAAAGGTTTTACTGGCGTGTAGAGAATCAAATTATGCGTTAAATAATGGTATAATCTTGAATTTCACATCTTTTGAGTTATAACACTATTATAATAGCAGTGCAATATGTAGATAGGTATTAAGCACCCTTCACCCTGAGACAAAGTTGACTCGTTCCATATGCCTGTAATTCATCAGCACCTTTGCAGAACAAGTGGCATAAATGGCAACAGTGGCCCTAATTGCTCAGGACACACAAGATAATTTGCATTTCAGAATATATTGACGATTTTATTACATATATGTAATAACCGCGTAAGGCGAAAACCAACCCAGTGTGTCGTCGCTATCATCTTTCCAGCTCATGGCCACAAATAATCTGATATCTTTTGACAGAGAATTAGCAGAAACAGTGGCATAAATGGCAACATTAAGCTGGAAAGATAGAGGATTAATCTGACCGAGGTGTCTATCGCCTGAGGGAGTCACCACAATTAAGGCCAATGATTCACGTTACACCATGCCGGGGCCGGGTCGTGCTCCGGTCGTGTGCCGGCCGTGACACAGTAATATATGCATATGAACTAGTACATGTTGGACCGGCTAGTCGTGTTCCGGTCGGGGCACGGACTTGGCCCAGTCTAACATGAATTAGTTCATACAAAAGCACAACATAGATATTTGACCGTGTCCGTGAATGAGCTTTTATTCACGCGGAATCGCTTTGAGCCGGTAAGGATAACCTTATGTCCATGCAATAAGAGCAATAAAGGAGATGAAAAAATACCTTTGTAAAATACGTTGCGCGTTTTGCTTCCGCTCGGATCGGCGATGCGAAACCCACAACGTCATTTTCGCTCTTATTACATGGACATAAAGATTTTTCTGGCTGAATGCGATTCCGTGTCGATAAGTGTGGTGACTCCATTACGTGATTAGTCTGCAGAACTAAGGCTTCGACGGACGGAATTTATCTTGTGCGCATGCGTTCAATCTGCCATATCTATTTATTCAGTTAAAATGTGTGATTGACTTCGCAATCATGATTGCCCAAGTACATGTTTCAATAATCTTAATACAGAGTAGTAAAAAAAACCGACTTTAAAAGTTCGTGGAATTACATCTATTTGCCAAATTTTATTGAAATCGGTAACCGAAAAATGTGTGAAACCGGATTCATCCCCTAGCTTGCCACTATGTGGAATATATTCTTCAAATTTAAATGGGACTATGAGATAAAAAAATAGTCATAAAAATCAGTTAACAAATGCAGGAGTTATCACGTAACACACATACAAAAAAAAGTCGAATTGAGAGCCTAAAAAAGGAGTTTTTAAAAGTCGGTTAAAAATTGTGAAAAACGTAAATCATTATGTTATACAGTGCTTCTTACAGAACCAAGTCTGGTATAAAATATTATTTAAGATACCTTAATGATCTCAACAAGTTGATCGACCCCAGAGTCTCCCGGGAAAATTGGCTGGCCCAGCAATAATTCGGCTACAACGCAACCTGCGCTCCATACGTCTGCAAACATTGATAAAACAGACTTTATACTGACTATATGATAATAAACTGATATACAGACTAAATACGTATAAGAGTGGGAGCACCTGTTGACTTTCGATTTCAGTGATATTTCTTTTAAGTTAAACATGTAAGGGTTCTAAAACTATATCTATATCTCCCAATTAGTTGAATTGAAGTTAATAGGAGTTGGTAAATGAACAGAAAATTTCAGAACAAACTAGACGTGAGACAAATTTGTCAATGAACTATAATTTTAATATTCTTGGAAAGTTGCCGGGGAGTGAACAGACGTGATATATTAGCGGTGGTCTCAAATACACTGAAGATGAAGACCAGGAAAAAGCGGAGGGATATCATTCCGATCATCCGAATGCCGAAAGGATGGCTATGTTGTAAGACTTAATGGGTACTTCACCAGGACCACAATAAAAGAGATGTAAATAAATAAATATTAGACAACATCACATACGTTTCTCTGATCCCAAAGTAAGTAACTAAAATAAATGTGTTATGGAAATCGGAAACAACGATGGTACTACAAACAACCAGACTCAATACAATATAGAAAAGTTAACTTTTCTACACTGACCCCGCCCGGGATCGAACCTGGGACATCAGAGAAAGCGACACCATGTGCAAGCTACTCGACCACAGATGTCGAAACACCAGATGTAAAGATACCTTCGAAGACAAAAAATTATCGCTTATATACTATTTTTAAAGTATGTGGACAAATATCTATCTCTTCTAATCAGAGGGTTAAAGGTATAGTCTATCATCTACTATGCTATAGTATACCTACCTATTTTAGTGGTATAGTCTATGGCGCCAAAGATGAGTTCAGGAGCGCGGTAGTATCGCGAGCAGATGTAAGAGACATTAGGTTCGCCACGCACAAGGTGCTTTGCCGAGCCGAAGTCGCACAATTTAAGGACCCCGGTTTTGGGATCCAATAGCAGGTTCTGAGGCTTGATGTCCCGATGACAGATGCCCAGTGAATGGATGTATGCAAGGCTTCTGAATAACTGGTACATGTACAGCTGTTGGAACAAAAAAAAAACAATTCATTTTAATTTTTCGAACTGTATACTGAATCGCAGTTCATAATGTATTTATTTGTAGAAATGCAGTTCGTATAGAAGGCGACAGTAACGTAATCTCAGTGTAGAGAATTAAAAAACCTACCTCAAAGTTGGTTCAATTATATCTATTTGCCAACTTTTATTGAGATCGGTTACCGGAAAGAGCGCGACACCGGATTCATCCCCTAGTTTGCCACCCTTAGAGGTGGAATAGGTTCTTCAAATTTAAATGGGCCCAATACTGAGGTACCCTTTATCCAACAAAAAAGATCCCCAAAATCGGTTCGCAAGTTAACATACATACAAAAAAACAGTCGAATTGAGAACCTCCTCCTTTTTATGAAGTCGGTTAAAATAAGTGCTAGTATTGTTCCACTGTGCCCGGCCCACACTAGCCAAACAAAGAATTATACCTATACTACATACACCGGCACATATAGCGAAACAAAAACAAAGTGATATTATAAAATAATAACATTTATATTTAAATAAATAAACTTAAAACATAAAGTAGCAATTTCAACCTTTATTGAATTTAAACATATTATGTCATATCAACCTTTGTTGATATGACATAATTCAAACTGTAACAAGGAAAAAATTTTTTTCAACTAATGTTTACGAAATTAACAAGAGACGAAAATGAACCACAAACCATTCGACAAACCTGTATTATAAAATTAAAACGAAAGAATGAAAAAACTACAGTCGACAATATACCTATTATTTTCAAATTACACGTAAAATGAAAAAGGAAGATTTCAGAGACTTCAAAAAACATTGCATTAATTTGGGGATTAAACTAGCATTCCGATGTGTGTTGGGTACAAGCAACGGGCAACTTGAAGCGAATATTATATTTTCGTATGAATTGCGGTTGCGGCAACCGGCGACAGTGTCCGGTTGCGGAACCGGCGACAGTGTCCGGTTGCGGCAACTGGCAACTATGCCGATTCATATAAGTTGTTTGAAAGTAGAATATTCGCTTCTAGTTGCCAGTTGCTTGTATCCATCACAAGACATACGTTTGCTCAAATCCCAATAATAATTTTAGGTAAATAACGAAATCTTTACGTACCTTTATAAAACTAATGGGTATGGTTTGTTCGTCTTTGGAGTAATGACGTGCAACTTTATACACAGTCTCGGGTATATACTCCAGCACCAGATTCAGGTACACTTCGTCTTTCTGCAAAAATAATAAAGATTCATAACATAATCGACACTATGTGCATCCACAACAAATCGAAATTCAGGCACTGACAATGAGCAACCGCACAAGTCCCAAATAGGACAGGGCTAGATTTAATTTACGATAATATTAGAATTTTACAGTCAGCACGCTTCAGCACATGGCCACTTTTAACAGAGACATCTGTTTTGATACATAATCGAACCGATGTTTGACTTGTGTGTTATTTAGTATGAATGCTTAGATGGAGCGTGCTGATAACTTATTTCCATACGAGAGACGTCTACTATACGTAGGGAACAAACATAACTCAGCGTAAAAGTGACTTTCGAATACATGGTGAACAAAAATAATTGTGTACGTCTGCTCATATCAGCGATTGACATTAAGATGTGAACGCGGCCTAGCTCTTTTAAAATTTTTGAGAAATTTGTAACAACTGTTCCAATGTTTAAGTTAAGGTAACGTACGTAATGTACTACAATAACGTTTGAGCCGAGAGAAAAATAAAAAGCACTTTCAAGACCATTAAAAAAAATACGGCTGACATCTGTCACGCGCGCCTTCGCTCGTTAAGGCGACATCGCATTCAATTCGACTGAAAATTCAAAAGTAAGACAACTAACATATATATTTAAAAATACCATAGTACATATTTAAAGGTCATAATACTAGTGATACGCAGTGCAAATTACTATTTTTTACCAATTTGTAATCTCCTTACACAAATACAGAATGGTATTAGAATAACTTATGCATATTCAATCGCCAAACCACAAAAGTAAAAGAATAATGACATATTTCTCTTGAGTCCACACAACTGTAGCTTAAATGAAATAGTTAATTCATCAAAATTAAAAACCAAAAAAAATCACGAAAAAAACTAATGTTAGATGTGTTCCTTATTTGAGAACAAAAAAAATTTTAAATGCGAATAAAAGCAATTTATATTGGATAATATGGAATAATCTTCTGATTGTCACAGTTAGTCAATGCAATATTTAACCGGACAAGTAGACTCCCTACTTGGCTGCTTTAAAAAGGGTTCTTGGCCATAAATGTTTATAGGAACGAGGCAACCTTTACCGGAGCTCTAACCTTGAACTACACACGTGAAAAGTGCCTAGAGATCGTGAAACCTATTGAAATTTTAGGAAATGTTTAGATTTAGAGTTTTAACACCATATTGTTTAATTTTACAATACCATAGAATTCTCATTAAATCCTCCCCAATACCCCCGTTGTGTATTTACGAAATCTTTACGTTGTGTAAAGATTTCGGTACTATAAAACTACGAAGGCCACTATTACTCGCTGCTTATTGTGGAATTCTATATCGAAAACAAAAAGAAAAAGATAAAAAGATAGTACAATCTAATTTGCAAATATTTCACACGATGAGTCAACATATTAAGAAATTATTGAAACAAACAGTATTTTGTAATCACACTTTATCGATCTCTAGACAATTTGAAGCATGTGAAAAAACAAAGCTCGGTCCTACGTCGACTATAATGGTGCGATGATGAATAATGTCGATAACGCTCAAAGCTTGTAACAAAGAAACACAAATGTAAAAAGCAAGCATAACGCAACACAAACTTCTATGGATTGTTGTGGGGACATCGTCTTGAAATATGATGGTAATGAACTAATCAATTATGGATTTTACCGAGCTTAATAGAATCGAAAAGAGCTCGCAGCTAAAACATTGTATGATGTGAATACAGCTCTCACAAACCGCTCCTTTGGCTTTATCGGTTATCGATCTATACTTTAAGTAACAAAAAATAAATGAACTTAAAATAAACATAACAAAAATATAGTTCGGTAACCCATGCCAAGTATGTGATGAACCTAAATTGTGCGTTAGCACACTAGCGCAACAATCTGATTGGTTCGGACGTACTGCGACTTCTAGTGACTGCATTGCGTTTAGCATAGAGCTCACTGCCGCGGGCACTGCCGCCTCCCCAAAAACACACAAATAACACACCCTTAATAACCGAACATACTAAAATACATTAAAATACATAATAAACTCACATCACATATTTTCAACTAAATTTTAAATTTATTTTTTTTTCACTATAATAGAAAATAAAAAACTTAGGTAAATAGATAAATCTCTACCTTTTCTCCACTGGAGTAAAAGAAGTATTTCAATTTAACAATATTACAATGCTCCAGTCGTCGCATGATTTGAAGCTCTCGGTTCTGTAAAAAAGCAGACAATATTATTGCAATATACTAAGTTACACAAAGTAAGTGGTAATAACACTAGTTAGTACATTACTAGCAGGTACGTAGTAATAGTACGCTGTTTTATTATATGGCAGAAAGTAGGTTATTGCAAACTGGTTGACACTTTAAACCCAAGTCGCAAGTGAAGATTTGAGCGTCACGAATTTGCAATAACCCTGACGACTGTGTAACACAACATCTTTAATACATTTATTTGTTCTAAATAAAATTTTCAGAGTCGCAATATAACTATTTCTAGATTACATTTTTTGGGCTTTACTCAAAACTTCAAGCGGAATTAACTCTATAATATCCGCTATATCACTTGACCTAGTCACGTTTCTGTTTTACAAAGAAAAAATATTGTTATAGGAATAACAATTGTACGACAACGTCGTGTTTTTCTAATTACGCAGGCTTTGTTTAAGGGTTTGTTTACAATTTAAACAAAATTAACAATGTTCCAAAACATAGCGTTGTTTTATTTTCATAAATGTATGTACATGAAAACATATGTATAATCCCTTATTTTAACATATGTTTATTAGATAATGTGTATCTTACCTTAAACCTTTTATCCTGGAGCACTTTTTTGATAGCAATTAGCTCGCCGGTGTCGCATAGTTTGGCCTGGTAGACGACGCCGAAACTGCCATTACCGATGAGCTTCATGTCGGCATAGCTCACTTCCTGCGGCCGGTCGGGGCCTTGCCCCGGCGTCGCCACCACTGTCGTCACCTTCGAGCCGTCCTTGCCTGGAACAGCACACCTCATTTCATCAAACATTTACGAACGCATTATAAAAGTAAACACCGCCTAATCCGCGTTTAATCATTAATCGAAGAACCTTCAAAGGAAGAAACAAGGTGCAGGAATTAATAGATATTTGCTCCTATAGGCCAGATTTAATTATTGGGGCCTCATAAATCTATTTACATCCGAAGGTTGCGTCCCTATACTGTTCGCCCCTAAAGTTAATTCTGTCGTCAATGTTTTTTTTTTCCAACGGGTTTACGCGATACTATATATATATCTTTGAAGTATTTTGAATAAGAGGGCCATCCTTTGCAACTTTGAACTAAGAGTGTACCAATGCACACTAAAACTTTGTAATAATATCTGCGGTAAAATCTGCGGAGCTGCAAAAAACTTACTCAATATTTGAATGGCCTCTTTAATGCAATTAAGGGTGTGACGTAAAAGAATCCATTAAACAGTAAAGTGCGTTCCACGGGTGTCATTAGAGATTTGTGCAGTGAACGCGCTGAGGGACTGGAAAGTTATTTTAACAAAAATTCTTTTTTTCTAACCTTCCTTCACTGTAGAATTCTCCGCTAGTACATTAGTTAGTCTATCCATAATCATCTCAAAAAAATCATTGCAACTCAATAATTTACACAATAATTGGAAAAAATATTAAACGTAAAATGTCTCGACCATCTAGAGTGACATAATAAATGGATACAGCTTTGCTAAGCAATAAAACGACTGATATTGTTATATAAGCTACAAATGTTGTATGTAATACAAGTATAGTTTTTATCACATGACGTTCTTTGTGTATGATCAATAAACTAGGATGACGTATTTAATTTCCATATTAGAGTAAAACTTGTATCGAAGCCGACGATATGTAGATCTGTAAAGTTAGAAGTTTCTATTCTGAGCGTTGCCCTTTTATTTTAAATGCAAAACGATCTGTTGGACGCCACTATGGGCATAGAGTTGCTAAACGCATGTGTATCACGTAGCAGTAATTCATGGTCGGATGACCCACTTCAGAGGCGGTCCACGGAGATTACGTCGGGATGCATCGCTTTGTTTTATTTTCCCTTCAATCGGGGGTCCATCATCTACATGCAAATTATAAAAAGAGTGCAACGAATAATGGAACTCCTGAAATAATTCACCGGTTTTCGACAAAAGAAACGTTCTCGATGTTTATATAGCCAGCTGTTTTCGGTTTTGCCAACTCTCAATTAGCGCATGTGAACATACGTAGTCTGACAAATATTTTAAATTAAACCGGTTACAACAAGTTTTGTTACTAACTTTAAATACTACTTAAAATGTTTTGCGTCGGTTTATTTTTATCCTGAATTCATTTTGTAAAAACCGAGCAAGCATGTCGGGTCATAATGTAATCAATTTTACACTTACAAACGGCGCGGGCTCAAGTAACTCGTGATAAATTTAGTATACGCTAGTAACGTGTTTTTTATTCTCTTCTATTTTTAAAACTAGGTGCTTACAATTGAACCTGTAGGGAAACGAGGATGTCGTCGGTGTTTTGTAGAAAGGGTATAAGCTATACTTCAAATTTTTTTTAGTGCTCCATGTTTTGGGTTTTCACGACTGCTTTACAATATTTATGTCGTAAAACTTAATTGAATTAAAACCGAAATTGAATTATAAAACAGGACGTAAATATTTTAAAAGATGTTAAAACCTAAAATTGCTCCCCTGAAAAATGTTGAAATGTCAAAATGTCGCTTACGACGCGCTTTCTACAGAACACCGACGATTTACAAGTAATGCAAAATGGGCCACTTGTTACTTCGTAAATTGTACACAATATCGAGAAATTATTAACCCTTAACAAACCTGACATAGCTTTTTAAGTCTGCTCAGCGATAACCCCTCGAGAGGTAAAAAAATATTCACGCTTTTCATGTAAGGGGGACTCTTTGGCAAACTTTTAAATATTATAAAGATTGTACAACTAAAGTCAAGAGCACGATTGACATTTGGGCCATTCCAAAGTGACGGATGGGACACTTTGATTTTTTCTTGAACTTTATGTAATTTCTCCCTAACCATTGGTTAATTGGACTTAAAATGAAAATATCATGAAGCCACATATGCAATTCAACTACGACTATTTATTTACATAAATTTATGACATTATTTATAATCAAAACTTTTAATTTTGTAAGTATGACGGGTGGGACACTCACGACACCCGCCAGTTTAGAGTTGATGGCTTCATTGCCAAGATCAAGATAAACTATCAATATTTTGTTCAGCAAGTTTTTCGTATAACTTGAATGTTAAAGTTTTAATTCATATACACTTAATAACTTTGATAAATTTTAAGGAAATTAATAGGTTAAGTTGTGACGGGTGGGACATGGGTTTGTGACGGGTGGAACGAGTTATAATTGAATACACAGAATTAATAAAATTACAATTGGTGGTTTGCATTAATATTAGACATAACTGGTTGAAGACTGTATCACCTCAGTCAACCGTGACCATGGGACCTGTAAAGGGCACGAAACGTCGGTTTGTTTGAAAAAACAAATATACGCGATCTAAATCCGGAAAAATAATTTCATTTCCTACAAAAAATAGAATAATTGTACAATATCCGAAAAATCTCATTTATTTCTAATGATTTGATTTATAGGGCGTATTCTAGCCATACAATTAAAACCAAATTGTGTAATTTATTTTTTGAACTGCGGTGTTATTTTCGCTGGAATGACCTGTTTTGTGCTTTGGGTCAATCATTAGACTAGGTCAATCTTATCGTAAGTGTCATAAAGTTAAATTTTAACAAGTGTCAAGCTGTGACTGAGCCTTATATTAGTTTTCGAGTAAAATGGATGTGCCATACTGACGGATGACAGATTACGAATGGTACTACTATAAATATAAGGAAAACCAGAACAAATTTAAAAAATGAAACTTTTTTGGTGTTTGAAATAAACCGCTACACATTGGTGATGAAACTATTCACTACTAAGAACTCGAACGTCAAAAAACTCCAAGAAAAAACTCTTACTTTTATAACACGAACTAAGTAAGTGTTTCTATCAAAATACACGAATGTAGTAAGGAAGCCCTTCGATTTAATATTAAGCTTTGCGTTGTCTTGAAGATTGCCATTTTTTTGCGAGAAAAAATGGTATATCCGCCTTTGCAATGAAACAAATTGGCATGCCTTGAACTTGCCTTACTTAATTGTGGTGAGTAATAAAATTACAATGATTTTTCATATTAGGAGCCATTTCAATAACTATGACTGTATGTTAATTTTCTTCAAAAAATAGTAGTTGTTTAAAATTACGTTATCAAGAAGCAAATTATGTGAAGTGATGACCAACAAAGAAAAACAATGAAATGTAATAAAGGCAACATGAGTAAATAATTACTGGTGATTGAAAGATACAGTGTGTACATTAACAAAGACGAAAATATTTTAATAAAGACTTGTCGTCAAACATTATTTTGTTAATGCCCCCGTTCATATAATAAATGAAAGAGTTTTTTTCATTATTTGATTTTTTTATACAATATAATGCTTACTCTAGTGACTTCGTTCGCGTCTAAGGTTAGAAAGGGCATAACCCAGATGACTAGGATTTAACCATGATACCTATTCGATCCTAATGCGTTTCAGTAATAGTGAGCAAAGAACATCCAAATATCGATCCATCCAAGCTGTCTCTATTATAATAAGTGGGATATCATTACAAAATAAAGTGTAGATAACATAAATGAGAAACAGTGCGTAAAATCGACCGTAGTCATCAATTTACATGCGACCTTTATCTTTCTCTTTACTGTAAGTCTATTCTACCTAAAATAATAATATGACGAACATGCAGAAAAAACAAATAAATTACATAAATGCACTTTATAAACTTTGCAATGTGCCAATTTCCATATGATTTTATTTAAAACTGTAAAAGATTGAAAGACGTTTCCAGCGTTTCCTACTGTCTATTTAGGTTATAGTGGTATGCGGAACAATATGACGTGAGGCCAAGGGATTAAGCCTGTATTGAACTGTAACTAAAACACTCTAAAAATCTTTTGTTTATATTTTTTAAAACAAAAGAACTTAGTAAACTTAGTGGCGACTATTCGCTGGAATACATTCTGTCGAATAAATCAATCTTATGTGAACTCACAAGTTAGCGATTCTATTTGTTTTTAAGAAAGTTTGCAGCAACCATTGACGCAGTTCCTATTTGGGCCAGATCGATACAATCAGACCTATGGGTTTCCACTGATATTTTCTTTCAGTTTTTAGACCAAATAAGTCATTATACGCGATGAAATTTATTCTAGAATATATGTATAATTTCATATAAGCACATCGAAATAATCACATTAATCGTAATGAAGTTCCTAAGGAAAAAGGAAGCAGTTTTTTGTATGTCATAAACACACTATCAGAACTTTCTATTGCTTTTGTGAAGTAGTTCTTTTATTGATTTTAATTTCTTTAACAGTTGGCAACATGACTTACAAAATGTTAATTTTAGTACGTTTTGACGCGAAAAGGTTTTGTGTATTATAGATGTTACCAACTGACAACTGGATAAACTAATATAAGAAAGTGGGCGACGGAAATCGTATCCACCCGACAAGAGCTCACAACCACACCCTTGGCAACCCTTATTGACGCAAGCCCGGCGCACTCCACCCTTGTTTATCAGCATTTGTCTAAGTACTACCTCCCTCTGTTCACAGAGACTGTCTATTATCTTATCATTAAAATCACATAAAAAATCAGCTTCTTTTGGTTCTAATTTTTTACTTGTAACCTTAAAAGGTAATACAGCTCTATTCTCGACGTAATTATTTTACACTTCATTTATTTTTACCTTTTAAAAACTATATATAAGAAAGTTACATAGGTGACTATCGACTATTGAAATAATTATTCAGGCGGTTAAACGCTAGTTGTTTTCGATCGTTTCCGAAGCGCTGAATTAACTATGTACCAACTTAATTGCCCGGT